ATTACGAGTCAAGACTATTACGCGAGCCAATGATTCTCGAGCCTAGCTTAGTTTTGAGTATTGATCAAGTTATCAGGATTAATTAGACATTAATGTCTATTGAAGTGAAATAAGTTATTTAAGATGAAGTTCAAGTTCAAGTAACATTCCATTTTATTTAGCTAAATGGATGTAAACTTGGCCATTTCTAGTTTGAATGAGAAAGAAAAAGAATAATGAGTCGAGACAAGTTAGGTCTCGAGTATGGTTGAGTATCCGTGAACATTTAAGTTATAAATGTTCAAAGAAGTGAGAAAATTTATTTAGACATTTTAGTTTATTTAAATTATTAGAGAGAAATATGAAATTTTTAGAATTTTTGTTTTTTTTTTTCGGTTTTCGATTGTAGTCGGAATTTAAGTCCGATTTCAGTTCCGAGAAATAAATTGAATTATTTTCTCTTTATATTTTTAGTAGACTACAAGATAAGAAAAAATTTTCAGCATAAAAGGAAAAATGCCGAAAGCAAAAGAAGGAAATTCGAAAATTGTAAGAATTTTCGATTTTACGGTAACTGTTCGTTTTAAGTCAGAATTCGATTCCGTAAATTCTATATTTTTCCTTATGTCACGAATTTCATCATGGAAATCATATTAGGATCACATGATGGGCCTTTCTAAGCATTGACTATAGATTGGTTAAGTTTACAAGTTATGATTTCCATTTATTATCTTTATTTATTCTTACAAGTTTGGTTTGTTTATTTTGTTTATTTCTTCACTCAATCATCTTGTGCCCTTTTTGTGGATATAAATAGAGGCCTTAAATCAGATTATTTTCATCAAAGACAAATTTCAAAGATCATATATTTCATTAGAGAAAAACAATTTATAGAAGGTTTTTGAAGAAGTGAAGAATAAACTTTTGATTTCTAGCAAGGAGAAGATAATTTACTCATCTAAATTTTATGCTTTGTAGATGAGTTTATATGTTTATTAGTGTATAATAATCACTTAGAAGTTGAGTTTATAATTGATTTTATGAATACAAGGAGTTAAAGTTGTTCTAAGATCAATTGTATGATATATGTTCTCGGTTTTAATGAGATTTTTATGATGATAAGAATAACCTGGAAAGTACGATTTATATTCTATTTATTATGTACATAATGAGTGCATAGGATCAAGAATCATGTCATTTGGTTAAGTATTACTCGAGATATAGATTTTTAAAGTTTATCATGCAAGTTGAATTTTATATACCTGTTTCCAGCAGCGACTTTAAACTTGAATAAGTCGAGATATGTGTTGATTGCATGATAAAATTATGAAATTTTTATTACATGTCTATATATGTGTTGAGAGCATGCCTGCCAAATTTCATGATTTTAGGTTGAGAAATGAATGAGTTACAATGTTTAGACCGCATGTATGTCTATATGATTTTATATGAAAGAGTACTCAGTTAATGTTCGAGCTTTTAACGTGAAACTTTTATGTACAATTTTCACATGAGAGATGAACAATTTGACCAAGTTTCAGCTTAATATGTTGAATATACGATTTTATAAAATTGTTTGAAGTCTCACATGTAAATAGCATAATTTCATGTTATGATTAGCACTTGAGTTGAATGTGCTTTAAATTCGAATTTTTAATACCAAACATGTTTTAGCCGAATTTGATACCTTATAAATCCTTATAAATCATGTATATGATGTTGGTAAAAGTTGAGCATGTTTTGAGTTCATGTGCTAGGTCATCTATCATGTGAAATTTAGCTTATTTTCACTTCTGAGTCATTTTAGATTACATGCGAGTATAAGCCAATATCCAAGCCTTAGAAGTCATGATTTATATGTGTAAGTATTCAACCTTGAGTAAAAGTTTGAGAAAAGTTAAGTTGTTCAGTGACTTAGTATCCATTCCGGATAAGTTATCAGTTAAAGTCAAGCATCATAGCATCCTATTGAGAATATTACGAGCATAGTACTTAGTATATTTATTTACATTTTTATGTAGCTTGCAGATACAGTTACCCAGAACAACACTTACAGTTTCAAAAGTTTTCAAAAGAAGTAAGGTGGGGACCCAGCCTGGGTATTATGTAGCTTGTCCGAGGTATGTATACAGTTTATACGCTTAGGATGAAGGCCCTCAGTTGCCTTAATAGTACATTCTAAGTTCTGATGGAGGCCCTAAGTTGCCTTAGAAATATCCATCAGAGTGTGCACATGTACCCGATCAGATATCGGCCAGATTACAGATTCAGTTTCAGTTACTGGAATAGATTTCCAGTCCAGATATATACCAACGATCATGATATTGTATTATTATTGTTGTTTTCTTTAGTATGGGTGATTTCGGGGTACAAAAGGACCAGTACTCACCCCCATTGTGTTTTTCAAGTAACAGGGTCGGTGCAGAAATGTAAGCTGAGCAGTGGTGGTGGTGGTCGTGGATGCAAACAGTTGCTATTTTATGAGGACATTTATTTATACATTCTGTATAATATTATGTCACGCTTTTCAGATTTCCGTTACGGATTTCAAGATTCGAACTTGCATGTTAAGTATTTTCAGACTTACATATTTTCACCATTTCAACAGTATGAATATGGTCCAGTTTACATGCGAGTTGATTAAATTTGTTTTCGTTATGTCTAAGCCAGTAGTTAGACAAAGTTAAAGATAAACAAATTTTCAGAAAGATAAGTTTTAGTAGCATCCCGAGTTAAGTGCAAAAGATTTCGAAAAATTTATAAGTATTTTCGAAATAAAAGTTGCAAGAAATTTACTCTGATAAGCTGGATGTTACAATTCATCAATGATGTTGTCGTTTCCGGAGTTTTCTCTCTTAGGCGGCATCGTGGATCGTTGTTGGTCTCTGGATACCAGCTGATGTAGAACGTGATACGAACGGGAAGAAAACGAGATGCTCTCTCAAAGAATTTCACTGTTCAGATATAAATTTTCATCAAAAGTCCCCTACGATGTTTTCAAAGACAAATAAATAAGAAAGAATCTTATTCCTACCCATATCTTGCCTAAGCTGCAAGATAATTATTTTCTACTAATTTAAATAACTAAGGAAATAAGATATACGAAAAAGGAAAAATAATAAGGAATAAATAAACTAAATCCAGAGCCAATCATATTTATTCAAATATTCTAAGGTAGTCTCGTCTCCATCATTATCCTATAAGTATATAGCTACACATGTTTGTGTTGAACAAATTGTAAATTGTAATATCTGTGTAGGTTGAACAAATTGTAAAAAACAATTGGTGACATGAGTAGGTTGAAATATCCCCTAAACACAATATGTCCATTTGTAATCGGGTGATATTCATATATGGACCTTACTCCATTTGGTCTTATCAACAATTATTTAAAAACACTATACAAATTACTATCTCATTAATTCATGAAATAACTTGGAGTAGTTCCAACACTTTGTGTTGTGTACAAATTGTTATTTTTACCGAGTACCGAATCAAATGATTCGTTCCCTGGGTCGATCTCTCGAGGAAGGCGGTTCAGAATTTAGCTTTGGTATTGATTACACATAGAAAGAAAATAAATCCTAAACACTCTAATCAGATAGGGGATTGAATAGTTACCAACTAAGAAATAACTTAAAACAAAAATCTACCAAAAATATAGACGAAACAAGGATGAAGAAGCTAGAGAGTCGGGGATAATTAATTCAAGTCCTATTTGCAAAACCGGGCAATTAATCGTTTGGTTCGAGATTGACACTCTCGCTTAAACATCTAGCGGTTCGCTCCCAATAACTCTTCGTAACAAGGGATTGAACAGAGATGAATAAGTTCAAGCATACAACACTGGCCAAATATCCAATCCCAATAACTCTCGTAACAAGGGAAAAGACATCGGCAAGCTTGTATTTCAATCCAAAACTATAGACTATTCAATTACGAAATTGTCTATCTCATGCGAGCCTAGGTCTATGACTTCTTCCCTTTCGGTTCTAAAAGTCCCTTAATTAAATTAGAAGAGTATTAATCAACTAATCATTTAGAATCAACAAAACTCTAACTCAGCAAATCAATATTCTATCGTTTCTAATAGCAAAATCGAAGTGTCACTCTTCGATTATATCAAATTATCAAGCAAGAACTCATCAATTCCGAATTAAATCAAAATCCACACAATAACAACAAATCAAAGCCCGACAAATACAAATTAAACAAGAACAATCCTCCCCTATCCCTTGCAATCGGAATTAGCTAAGCATATCAAATTCAACACACCAAAATATATCTCCTAAATCAACCATTTTCATTAATTAATTCAAAGAGAAAACAAACTTACAATTTATTCAATCCAAGTGTTGAACCTTCATACAAAGCTTGAATCCAAAATGCTAAAAAGAAGAAGAAGAAGAATATTGGAAAAGAAAGGTGAAGAGAAGAAGAAAAATGAAGAAGAAGAAGTAGAAGAAAGAGGAGAAGAGAGTTTCTGTCGTGTTTTCTCGAACTTAATATCTATTAAAAAACATAACTAAACACGAACGATTAATAATAAAAATAAATTATAAATTGTTACCTCCTAATTTGTTGGAGGATTACATTAATAAATAAATAGAAGAAGAAAAAAAAAAAAGAGAGAATCACATAGGCAGCATAACTCCCCTTGTACTTCTCCCTTGTTTTCCACTCTCTACTTCTCAACTCTTTTTCTTTTTCCGGTCTCTTCAGTATTGTTGTTAATTATAACTATTATTATTATTGTTATTTAGTGAGTTGCATATAATTATATAGATAGATAATTATAGTTCTGCTGACATTTTCTTTTTCCGTCCGTCTCTTCTGAGTTGCATATATTATTGTTTCATACACTTTAATATATTTATGCACTCGGTATTGGTTTTGAATATTAAAGACAATTTATGTTCTGCTGACATTTTCTTCAGAGCACTTCTAATATCATTTTCTACAGAGAAAAAAAAAAAAAGATTAGGAGGATGAAGAAGCCATGATTCATGTTTTACTTGTAGATGGCAGCTCCAATTGCCTCTTCCTCTTGGAGGCTCTCTTTCGCTTGTGCCAATACCAAGGTTTTACTTTCCTTTCTCTTTTTCATATTTATTCATATTCTAATAATTAAATTACTTTTAACACAATTTTTTTTTTGACATAATACAATGTTTTTTATTTACTGTAGCATGATGTTGAGTTACATTGGTGTTAGTCATGTCAAGTAAATTGTCTTCTAGATTTTTTCACTATATTGAAAATTAAAATTTAAACTTTTTTTTTCTATGTATATATGTATGTGTGAAATTTTTGGCAGTGAGTACAACAGAGGGAGCAATCACAACACTTCGAATTTTACGCGATAACAACAGTCGAATTGACTTAGTAATAAGTTAAGTCGACTTGCCCGACAAGGATGGATTTGTTCTGCTCAAGGAAGTGAGCCTCCGAATGGACATCCCGGTCGTATGTAAGGCTTTTAGTTAAGCCTTTTTTTTTTGTTCGTCATGAATTAGAGCTACAAATGTGGCTTCCTTGATGAGATTAATGTTTGGTGTTTGTGTTTGTGTAGTGGTGTAGTGGGATGATAGTAAAGAACGGCTATTAAAAGGGATAGTGAACGGCGCGTGCGATTTTCTGATAAAACCCGTAAGAGTCAAGGAGCTGAAGAATATATGGCAACATGTGGTGAGGAAAAAGTTGAGGAAGAACAAGAATGTTGATAATAATAAGATTGTTAATCATGTTGTGGGTAAATCTCATGTGGAGATGAAAGAAGCTTCCAACAGTAATAGTGTTTGTTTTAATGAAAATCCGAATAATGACAAAAGGCACACCCATGATGAGGTGTCTTTGAAGCAGAAGAAGCCACGTGTCGTCTGGTCGCAAGAGCTTCACCGCAATTTTTTTGGTGTCGTTGATCAATTGGGAGTCGACAGTAAATTTATTATTTTATTTACTTATTTATTTATTTTTTATCCGAGTATATAAATTATTGACGTGTCGATATCTGCATATATGTGGTAGAAGTTGTCCTGAATTAGTGTACAACCTTTTTTTATATTTATTGTTTATTTATTCCTTTGTATAAAATATTTGGGTGGTGTTTTTTGAATGGCAGAAATACAGAATGCACCTGAAAAGTCGAAACGCGAGGCTGCGGGCCCACAACAAGCAAACAACACACCATTATTATCGGGCGTGCCATCATTTAACAGTACTGCTTATAATAATAATTATGATAATCAACACATGGTTAAGGGTAGAAAATGTCCAACTTCAATGGTCAATCATCATAATCAATAGAGTGATAATCAAGTATGGGTTCAAGGAATGCCAATGCCGATAACAGTGTAGGATCCATTTGCTGCTTACAGTGAGTGGGAGGTAGCTCGGCGGCTAGGAGCTCCTAAAAAGGCATCTTACTTTAAGCGGACCAGGCGCGGAATAATATAATAAAAATAAAATAAATAATAATGATAACAAGTGTTCTGTAGTGGTCCTTTTTTATTTATAGCTAATTAACGACTTATATTTTTCGTCGGACAACATTTCATGTAGCGATGATCGACTTCTTTATGAACTTTCTTCTCTCGGCTCGATTGATAATTCAAGTCAACATGATTTGTTGCTGCCAGTGCCAGCTACTACTCGTGATCTGAATAGCCACATCGAGTTACAACTTGATAACGACATGTCAGAATATCATTCGACGGGAGTTTCCTAAAGACCCTTCGTCTGTTGGTTCCATTTCGATGCATGTGATTCAAAATAACAGCTCTGGACATGGACAAGGACAAGCTTCCCACCAGTCACTCTAACAACAATGTCCAGCTGCCCGAAGTTCGAATATATCAGGTATATTTATCTTCATGTTATGTGCTTAGTGTTTTTGTTCTTTTCTTTTTCCAAGTTTATAATGGTGTCGTACCGGCTGAGCCAGTGAGTGTAATATTGTATGGTTGGTTTCTTTGTTCCCCATCAAACGAGAGCTCTATCGGTCATCAATGGTGGATTGGTGAATGTATATATCATTTGGTATATATCTTTGCTATGGACCAAAGTGGACATTGGTGTTAATTTATGCATGGTGAAAGCTACACTGCTACAGTACATATATATGCTGCAAAAATTTTTGTTCATATATATATATATGGGTTCAAGTGAGAATGCTTCTCAATGAAAGAAATAAGAATACATCGTAACCATTAGATCGGATGATCTAATGGCTAAAAAATCTAGCATTTATTTATTCATTAAGGGTATTTTAGACATTTTATCATTTTACTAATTAATTTGTGCCAACTAAAAAATTACACAGGTCCAATTATTTCAGGCCATGTGGCTAAAACACATCACACCTCACACCCCCCTCTCTCTCTTAGTACTGACACACACACGCACAAATCGGTCATCACATATACACACATTAAACACGGTACACACAAACCCCGCACCACACACACACTGGCAGTGGAAGAGTAGCCCACCACCAGCCTACCGATTTTCCAGCGGCGACGTGTCTGACCTACAGTTTAGGCACCGCTGCCCCTCCGTCAGGCCCGTGTCGTCGTACGTGTTGGAGCTCCAATCCGCTGCCGCCATCAGTCTCAACCATGAATTCAGACCAACTTCGGCTACCGATCGCCGTCGTCGGAATCTCTACATCAGGGTCGCGGAGCTCGCAGTCACGCGCACATTTCGCCGCCGTTGGTCCATTGTTCGGAGCTCCACCACCGTCATTCTCCATCCATCTCAACCGGCGGCCGATTTCACCCATCCTCGCTGGAAAGTGGCGCCGGAGATTGGGGCGCGGCGGAAGGTGCTTCATGATGAACGACGGAGGCCGATGAACACATCAAGGACTTATGTCTCTGCCGAATATGGTTGAAAGGCGTCGGTGGGGTGGGGTGCACGTTGAAGAACGATTTGGGGAATTTGGGGCTGGGGAAATTAAATAACTTTAAGGGCCTGATTGCAATATAGTGAAACCTAATTATTATTTAAATTTGGTACATGTGCCAAATGTATAATTTATAGAAAAATTAATAAATATATGTTAATGATAAATAAATTTACAATGTATTGTGTATATTCACATTAAATATTATGCAATGTGAGTATATGAGGGAATTCACATTAATGACCCATACATTGCACATTAATGATTGTCAGACTGCACCATATAGCACCGAAACAGAAATAAGTAAATTGTTCCGTTCGAATTTGAATAATAAAGTTAAAATATATGTTTACTTTTAAAATTTTGGTTTAGACGTCACAATTAAAAGAAAAACCAAAATAACAAAACGATCCAACTATATAAGAAAAGAATATTATTTTTATATATATGTATTTTTTAAATATATTGTTATATACAATCAAACACAATGATAAAACTAAAATAGTAACATGCGAAATATATTTTTATAATGAATATTAAACAATTTCAGGTATTTAGGGTAAATCAGTTAAATTCTCGAATAAACTGATTAACTTATCACGTTTTAGATTCTATTTTGTTGGATTAAATCGTTAAAAATGTGTATCTTTTATTTTTTAACCAAAAAATAATATGATAAAATATATAAAAAATATTAAAACAATTAATATACTTTTATGATAACAAGAGTAACAAAATATTTCAGTTATTTACTAAATCTACTAAACCTAGTTTTCAAAAACACATAATTTATATACGATCATATAAAGTATTGCACTTTATATAGCGACACACAGCACTCTACAAAGCAACATGTTGCACTTTATAAAACAACAATCTGCACTTTATCACCACATTTCGCAATTAAAGTCAATAAATCATGCCAAAATACCACACAACAATACAACATAAGTCTAATATTTTAACATCAATCACATTATTTGTCTACAAAAAAAGAAAAACAAAAACAAAAAAGAAAAAACATGCTAACATACAAAAATTACAGTACTGCATTTATATATTAACACGTTGCACTTTATAAACCAGATCGTTGCACATCACGACACTCCACAATTAACGCCGATGACTCCCACCAAAATTCTATATTTTTTTCGAATTTTATATTTCGGTACGAATTTTAAATTTTGATTATTTGAGTTTGAAGTCAACTTTATTTTTTAAAATAATCGAACCATATAAACTAAAAATTTTGCGTTCGAAATTTTATATTTTGGCTCAATTATATGTTTTTTACTTTTAACATCTCAAATGTAATGTGCATCTGTTACACAATTTTTTTTTTATCATTTTTATTGTACATTTAGTGTATTCTTTATTAATTATAGATTGACACATGTGTTAAATTGAAGTTTAATAAAAGTTAAAAAATTGCAATTAAGTTTCTTGAACTTATCAAATTCTCAAAATGGGACTACAAAATATTTTAACANGCTAACGTACCAAAATTACAGTACCGCATTTATATATTAACACGTCACACTTTATATATCAACACGTTGCATTTTATAAACCACATCATTGCACTATATCACGATTTGAATAAACAAAAGTTAAAGAAGATTCAAGCAATTGCAGAAGCAGTATAACTTAAAATTGAACCTTCAGGAGAGCGTCTCACTCTCCCTTCGGATCTCTTTCATTAATGCAAACAACACAAACATTCTTCAAGGGTTTACATTACAGACTTCCTCTACACTCTACTTGAACAATGATCTGCACTACTACTTCTTCGACCACAAATCCCTTGTGGTTTTTCACGTTTGAATCCCTCAAACTAAAACAGAATGAACCTCCATTCACTCTGTATTCTCCCTCACACTCCACTCCTTACTTACGATCTCTTCACTCAATATAAAAAAATACAGAACACTCCAAAATCCTAACTTCGTAGTTTAGGTCTACTCTAGAAAAGCGAAGATCAAAAGTCCGCCTCACTAAGCTTCTCGTCGTCCTTTTATCTTCAATCTCGTATGGTAAGTCTTGCACCAAACTTTTCCTCCAAGTAAGGTATTCTTTTGGAAGGTCCAAGTCGCGTGATCAGAATCTTGCGCATATGGAAGGTGAGTGCATCTGGAAGATGAATGCATATAGTAGGTGAGCGCATATGGTAGGTGACCGCATATGGAAGGTGAATCCCTAATTACCTTCCATTAGACCTGCCATTATAAAACACATAAATATTAATTAACAAACTGAAGTAATTTAAAAATAAGTCCAAGTAATAAAAACAACTTCCCTTAAATATTCTTGTGTCGTTTGAACCTGAGAACTAATGAAGGTTCATCGATTTACTGCCAATCTTCAAAACTGACAATTTCCCCCTTTGGCAGATAAATCGAAAACACTTCTTCTGAACCTGCATCCAAAAAGACATTTCATGCAACATATGCACTAAACCATACCATTCTCGGCACATCACACATATGTTGTTCATTTGAACAACTTAACAACCTGAGCATTTCAAAACACGGAAAGAACAGTCCACCGATTAGTAGATAATGTCTACGGACCATCCGAAAGCAAAAATAAAAAATAAAAAATAAAAACACAGTACATAGTTTTTAGTTTATCAAAACACAACACAAGCCAAATGTCCACCCACAAACTAAGCAGATCCGTCTTCATCTTCAATCTACTCATCATCATAACCTTCATCAGATCCAGCTTCAGTGTCTTCCTCTGAAGCAGCATCTCCTTCATCATCCTCATCTGAGTCCACCTCCTCTTCCTCAGCATCTGAACCTTCTTCAGACTCAAGAGCCTTCTTCTTCTCTTTGGCAGCAACAACTTTTTCTTTTCCCTTGACCGTGGCAGCAACAACCCTTGGCTTCTCCCCTTTGTAGCAGACATCTTTTTCTTCTCCCCCTTACTTCCACCCACTCTCTTGATCTCTCCCTTTTTCGATTTAGATACCGAAAGATCCTGTGACTTCATTGCACCCAGAACCTCCTTATAATTTCTACGCTAATCAGCAAGCTTCTTTTCAAGTCCAGAGAGAACCGCCACCTGTTGGTTGAGAAACCCACACAGCTACGAGGGTACTTCAGAAGCTTTAACCATGGATGGGCGAGGAGGAGCAAACTTTATTCCAACAAGGGCAAGAGATTTGAGAGCAGGAGACAGACTATCACCCACAAGAGGATCCAACTTTACTCCGGCATTGAGTAAAATGCCATAGATAGGAGACGGACAAAGCAACAACTTGTGTGGTTTGGAGATTTCAGCAAAGGACACAACGGTGTCAAAGATAACGGATCTAAGGTCAAACGGAACACCACTAAGGATACGGAAAATGACCCGTGCCTGGGTAGGTGTAACAAATTGCTTATGCGAAGTGGGTGTCCAATTTGATGCACCAATTTTCTGTAAGGCGTTTTCCTGAGGAATGAGGCTTTCTATAAAGAGCCCTGGTGCTAGCCAGTTACTCAGTTTTCCACCAGTCAATGTGACTTCAACCTCATCAAGGTCATCGGACAGAGGGGGTAGAGATGAACCTTCAGCCAACCCAAGAACATAGTTTATAACAGACGGAGAGAACACAACTATGTTGTTCCGAACAAATACTTTTCGGAACTTCATGGACTTAGGATTAGAAACAGAACCAGACAAGTTTGAGTAAAATTCACCAACCAGCTGAGGACAATACTTTCCCACAGTCACAACAGAATTTTCAAGGCCCACTTTTTTTAAGAGTTCAATGAGACCAAGCTTTTCAAAATGTTCCATCACAATGGTTCTTTCAGGCCGAAATTTCATTTGAAAAAATATGTCGAAAAAATGTGATTCAAATAGAAGAGAATAAAACTGACGAGAGAAGGCATTACCCACAGTAAGAGGGCTATCAGTACCATCACCTTC